TTATGCAAGGAAACTGTGTTAGCTAGACGCTTACACACACATACAAAAAACGCACACACATTCTCTCACAGTGCTGCAAAAAGATATCACTTGGTAGGTGGCCCCAATTTAAAAAAGAATGGATTTCAAAATGTTGGAAACACCATGCTTTGCAACCCCTGACATAATGCGTTTGTTTGCTGTGTGGGGGGGGGGGGGGGGGGGGGGGGGTTGAGGGGGTGGTGGGGACAGGAAGGGGAAGGGTGGTTTCAAAACTTTGTACCTGACACTTAATCAGCAATATGAGCACAATAACTCCGAGTCGATTACCCCTAGACGTAAACAACTGTAATCACAGACACTTTTAGAGCGTTTTAGCCAAGTTCGCCAAGGAGGGGCAATCATTTTACCTCAGTTTGTTCACATTTTCCAATCGCATTTCTGTGCAGGTGTCAACACATGTCAAGTGTGGTGTTTTTATTAGTGGTCATACTGGGGTCAAGATTTGTACATGGATATGTTTAAAGATGTCCAGTGCCTTAAACATCGTTCAATGTCTGCATCGCCATCAAGAAATCTTTGAAAGAGGGATTGGGGTTGGGTGGGTGAGATTTCAGCTCCCTTATGGTGATGATGATGATGATGATGATGATGATGATGATGATGATGATGATGATGATGATGATGATAATGATGATAATAATAATAATAATCTTAATTTTATGAAGGTAGTGGATGCACATTCGAAAATTTCTGGACTTTTCCAAAAATAAGCTTGGTTCCTAGGTCGACCCAGGCTTAACTGGTTACGAGTTAAAAAGAATGCAAGGTAAAGGCGGCTGGCGGGTTGCTGACCACATAACCCACCAAGTGCCGATTGGTCTATGAAATGCCCTATTTGCCCAAAACGTATGATGGCGTGAAAAAAAAGTGTCCTTGACTTTACTATTATTAGGTCTCTGCGGCGAAGTGGTCAAGCAGTTCGCCTCACGCTCTGACGGTCGTGGGTTCGTTTTAAGGCAGCGCCATTCAGTTTACGAGTGCAATTTTTACGCAAATTTGTGGGGATCTTCGCCGGAGCTACGGAGTTCGTTCTCTGTGCGACGATCTTGGCAGGCAGCTAGCAGTGCTGCGGAGCGTGGCTGGGCCATATAGTATAAAACTCGATGCAATGAAATAGATGCTCTCACCTTTACCTTTACTTTTGTTTCAATATTAATATTATGAGCTAAATGGCAAATATATGTACAAGTACATATGAAATAGTATCAAATATATTAAGCAAGGAACGTGTATACATGGTTATTTGGGATAGTAGGTTCCCTTTGCAATTGTTCTAGGTTTGGCGCCAAGGGGCCCCCCTCCACCCCACGAACTATTGGGGAGGGGGTGGCGGAGAGGAACCGGAGAGTAGACCTCAAGATGCATGAGCTACCAGGTTCCGGCCCCTCTGCCATGCACTGCTATTGCTAGCCTATTGACTTTCGGTACCTAATTTCCACTGATAAACAAAATGGTAGAGAAGTATTCAAACATAGCTGAACTCCAATATAAGCGAAAAAAAAAGTGAATTTGTTGAATTTCATATGCTGGTTTGACTGTGTCTGGTTATACGGTAAAAAAAAGGATATATTGAACCATTTTAGGTTTATATGGTTTTTTTTTAATTCTTCAAAGTATGGAACCATGGTGAGACATCAATTACTCCGCGTATAAATAGCGAGAGAGCTCCATAATCCGTTTCAAAAAATGTCAGAAATTTAGCATTTAAGGACGGTTATGTGGTCGATCCAGGCTTGTGAAAACCTATATTGGATAACTTTTGAGAATTGGCTAGAAAAGACATTATTTTTCATTTTCCTGTTTTGTACTCGCCGTTAAAAAAGAGGTTGATAGCTAAGTGCGATATTTATCCCCCCCCCCTCCCACCTTTGGCCTACCAATACGATTCCCCCCCCCCCACTTTCTCTCTGTCTCTCTCTCTGTCTCTCTCTCTCTGTCTCTCTCAAAATGAGTCGCCTTTTCTACGTACTTGCTAACGGTGAATGAGTGCACCCCCAAACCCCTTTCTCCCTGATCTTACACATACATTGAACGAGAAAGAGAACAACCACCCCAGTTTATAAGTAAAAGTAAAGAACCTTTTTCTATTTAGACGTGTATGGCCTATACAAAGGGAAGTCAATAAGTAAGTCACAAATGGTTAATATTTGTTTCAAAACTAAAGATAAAAGCAACTTGAAAACCGCTTACTTTTACACATAGAGTTATACTGTTCCTTTACTTTTCAACATAATTTCAACGAGTATTGATGCACTTGTCCCATGGTTTTATCAGTCCTCCCCAAACCTGATGCATTGAACTTCGTACTCTGTTTTCTGAGCCACATTTACACTTAACATTTAACTTCTGCCTCATTCACCAAGGTGAGTTTTCACTGAACCATTAAAGTGTATACTGAACCATGTGAGCGCCATATTGCAGCTGATACAACCATTAATCACCTGTCATCTCTAATCATCTCCTTCATCCGCTGCACGGAAGCGCCTGTTGCAATCTCAACAGGACGACCAGATCGGACTTCAACAACAATTATAAAGCGTGGTTAAGAATATTTTTTTTTCATTCAGCTATGCACCGCTTTAAGGGATACTAATAATTTAACATAAACAGGAAGTATTTCCTTATGAATGTCCTTTACAGGCAGCC